GGCACCCTGCCCCAAGCCCAGGTGATCATTGTGTGGGTCTCTTCTGCTTCCCCCTCTAGAGCCTCTCTCCATCATTCCCACCAAGCTCTCAGCTCCAGATGCTGATCCATGTGGTCTGCATCCAAGGGCTTCCTTCTCTTTGGCTTCTGGCTAGTTTGACCAATGGCGGCCCCCACAGGAGACAGGGAGGTTAGAGGAGTGTGGTCAGCGTGCTTGTTCCTGGCTTCCTCCCTGCCTGACTGCCGTGGGTTGGCTGATTACCTTTATCAAGGCCACAGCTTCTGACAGTTGGCTGTCTTCATAAAGTTACAAGTGCTGGTATACCACACTCTCCTTTGTTGGGTTTCCTTAAACACTGGCCATAGCTTTGTAAATAGTACCTTTTTAGATTCTCCTCAAAATATTGATTTTAAATGTACCATCTCTTTCCTGCTGGGAGCGTAACTATATAGACAGTAACCACTTGCTTGATTTTACAGAAGCCATCACCACAAATACATAGAGGAGATCAAATAAAATTTGAGGTCCCCCACCCACTCTAAAATTCTAATCTACAATCCCAAGAACTTGAAGTCCTGTTTTCTATTATACAAGCACCAAATCTCAAATTGGCAGCAGCATAAAAAATCAACACAATGCAGCAAGCTCCCCACATCATCCCAGAGAGAGTATTAAGTTCCAGCTTGAACTTCTCCAATGCCAAGAACTGGCTCCCCCAGGGAAGGAAGTCATCAACACTATGGGAAAAAGTCCTTTGGAATCCATCCAACTACACCACTTTCAAATCCATATTATTTGTTTTGCCTTATTTAAATCCAGATACCCTATATTTCACAGGATGCCTGATTTGACATTCTACTACTCAGCCCTTGTAGGATCATTAATTATAACTGTGAACCCAGTTTTTGTATTTGCAAAACGGAGGTTAGGAGCTCAGTGGTCAATAAGGCCACCTCCATCTCTGATTACCTAATCAAAGTAGTCAGGAAAATCACTCTTACCTTTCAGTAGAAAGCTGCTATAAATTCATCATTGCCAGCCTCATATGGATCATCAAATTTTACATTTCTTTAGTAAGTTCTATCTCCTCTCTGAAAAAATTATTTGAAACCTTCTCTTCTTTTCAAACTCCAGAACTCCTCTCTTTCTTTTCCAGGAAGTTAAGCTTGCTCTGTACTTACCCAGAAGCTTCAACTTTCTGTCACCAAATCTACAAACAAATCTCCTCTCCTTCCTTTCCATTACAATAAAACTCTGCCTCCTCCTGTCAAGGATTCATTCTTTCTACGAATCCCCTACCCAGCAACTGTCCTCAAAGTAATCATGGTGGAGTTCCCAGTCCCCCAGAGGTAAATAGGACCTTTAAAGAGATACCTGGAGATAAAACCAATTTTCTAATAGGACTAGAATGTTATCAGCCCTTTTCAGTGTGTCGACAGTTGCACTGATGGTACAACAGTAAAAAGAAATCAAAGTAGTGGCACCAAACTGTACCAGTGGTCATTCCATTCTTCCTACCATACACTCAGATTAAAAAAAAAAAAAATCAGTTTCACTTAGGAATATTCATGATAAAGCAATAAAAATTATTGATTTTATTAAATCTCTACCCTTGGGTACTGTGAGAAAATGGGATGTGCACATAAAACGCTTTTGCCACATTCAGTAGAACTGTCTCAAGGAAAAGCACTTGTGCATTTGTTTGAGTTGCTAGCTGCACTAGCCATTTTTCTCACGGACCACCATTTTCACTTGAAAGAGTAACTGGTAAATGATGGTTATTCAAAACTGAATCTTTATTATTTATGTTAACATGTTGTTTTAAGTGGATAAATAATAAATGAATACTTTAAATTTTTCTCAGTTTTAATTTCCACCAGGACAAATATAGATAGCTATAACCCACAGACACAAAGGCTTTTTGAGGTCCTTAAAGGAGCCGTGGTGGCACAATGGTTAAGCACTGGACTGTTAATTAAAAGGTTGGTGGTTCGAACTCACCCAGCAGCTCTGCGGGAGAAAGACCTGGCAATTTGCTCCAGTAAAGATTACAGCCTAGAAAACCCTATGGGGTAGTTCTACTCTGTCACACTGTGTCGCTACCGACTTGACGGCACCTAACAATAATTTTTAACAGTGCAGAGAAGGGTCCTGAGACCAGAAAGTCTTTTCAAGAACCCAACCCTATTGTTTATTCTTAGATATTGTCATCTGGTCCCTTTCTACTGAGTCAGGGCCATCAGCATTGTCTTAAACAAAAATTCTCCCCCAGACAACATTGCTGCCACCCTGGATCTTAAAACACAATTTCTGGGTAGCGGCAACACTGTGCCATCTGCTTTCACCCAGTTACGCTCAGGGTCACTACTGCCCTCGAGCACCACGGTCATTGCGCCCGTCGTTCCTCCCTGTGGACTCACCCAGTCACCCTGTGGGCCACAGGCCTCGAGGCGCCCCCAGGCCCGGCCACCCTTCCCTTGCCCTGCAGGGTGCACGCCTCGCGCCGAGGCCGCCCCCGAGGTTCCGCGGGCCTGTCTGTCCAGGCCTGACCTCCAGCCACCTCCCGTGGCCACCTCGTCCACGCTCCTGCCCAGGTGTCTGTGGGGCAGTGCTCAGGGTCAGGCCAATGATTGCCGGCCTGCATCCCCCGGCCCGGCGAGGGTCTTACCATAGTGAGCTCCGCTGCTGCCTCCGACGCCGCTGCTTCACCTCAACCGCCGCAGCCGCTTCCCCAACTGCCGCTGCTGTTCTGTGCGCCGCCTGGATTGGCCTGCCGGTGCTCGCCTCCCATTGGTCCAGAGCTTCCTGGGGCGGGCCCAACCCCAGTCTTCTGCTCAGCGATTGGCCGCATCTTGACTGGCGGAGCGGTGGCGCCTTCTGATTGGATGCGGGCTTGGCGGGAAAGCTAAGGGGTCGCAGGAGATGGGCAGCCGAGCTGCCGAGGCCCCTTGGTCTGTGGGGTTAGAGCAGTCGTGTTGTATCCCGGGTGCGGTGCCGGGTGTTACACTTCGCATACGCCCCCGGCGTGTGAATGGCTACGTCGTTCACTCAGAACAGCTTCTGTTCTCGCCGGGCGTCCCAGCCCGCTCAGCCCCGCACTGCTTACTCAGGTCTTTGCAAACATGGCGGCCTCCTTGAGGTCCTCGTGGCTGTTCACCCAAAGGCCTGGCACCCTCTCATTTCCGCCCCTTTCGCCTTGGAGAAAGGCCTTTTCCACCCAGCACCAGGGAACCAAGCAGGACTTGATTCCTTTAGTGAGAAGGAGTGGGTTTCCGGAGACTAGGGATGCCTGGGCTGGGACCTGGGTGCCCAGAGGAGGACAAAGCTGGGTTAGGGTGCAGTGCCCATTTGGGGAGCCTTTGAACAATTACCTGATTCTTCCGTTCTGTAAAGATCGTCTCGATTTGAAATCCAGTGTGTATTCACTTCTGGGAAAAGCTAGTGGGGAGGAGTCCAGGCGTACCCCAACTCATCACTAGAACACAGCATCTCACTCTGGCCTCTCCCTAGAGGGTGATCAAGGCAGGCCCTTAACTTCCCCTTCTTAGAGGAGAGCCCGAACCCACCCCTCTGGGTGGTGCAAATGGTTAAAGTGCTTGCTCCAATTAAAAGGTTGGAGGTTCAAGTCCACCCAGAGGTGCCTTGAAAGAAAGGCCTGGTGATCTACTCCCAAAAACTCAGCCACTGAAAACCCTATAGAGCACAGCTCTACTCTGACACACATAGGTCGCCATGAGTCAGAGTAGATCCACCACAACTGGTTTGGTTTAGGGGAGCCTCTAAACAGTGCCATCAGGTCTGCCCATAGATTGCTCTGACAGCAAGAGGAAGGGATAGGCGAGGGCAGCAGAGAGCTAGGGAAAGGGTAGGCGGTCGTTGTTTTCCCTGCCTCTTCTCTCTAGGCAAGTGAGTCCCTTTCCCTCAGGGCTCTAACCAAAGTGAGCACTCACTGTTCTAAGGTAATATTTATTTTCTGATTTTAAAAGTAATGTATATTCAGAATAGAAAGTTTGGAAAATGTAGAAAAGTATAAAGAAAATAAAAATCATCCATAAACCCACAACCTAGAGATAAGCTTTAATAGCTCAGTGATTTTTTTAAATCCTTTTTCTGTATGTATACATACCTTTTTTTTATACAATTGGGAACAATGTGATTTTTTAAAACAGCTTTATTAAGATGTAATTCACATACCATACAATTCACCCATTTAAAATGTGACATTCAATGGTTTTTAGTATATTTTCAGAGTTTCACAATCATCACCATAATCAATTTTAGAATATCTTCATCATCCAATAAAAGAAACCCCATAACTTTAACTGTAAATCTGTAGTCTCCCCACCACCCCCAGCTCTATCTAGGCAACCATTAATCTCATTTCTAACTCTTTAGATTTGCCTATTCTGGACATTTCATATCAACAGAATCATACGATCAAGTTTAGAACATTTTCATCACCCTAAACTTTGTGCCTTTTTTATGGCCAAATACTATTCCATGGTATGGCTATACCACATTTTGTCTACCCATTCATCAGTTGGTTGACATTTGGGTTGTTAACACTTTTTGGCTATTATGAACAATGCTGCCATGAACCTTTTTGTACAAATGTTTTCATTTCTGTTTGGTATCTACGTGGGAGTGGAACTGCTGAGTCATACAGCAATTCTATGTTTAACCTTATGAGGAACTGCCACACAAACCAAGTGATTTTTTTTATCCTGATTTTCTCATTTAACATTAATCACATGAATTTTCCTGAACTGTGAAATGTTCTTTGACCACATGGCTTTTAATGGTTGCAGCATTCCAAGTCTTAGTTAACTAATCCCCTGTTATTGAGCATTCAGGTTATTTCCAATTTTCATTAGTATGTATAGCATGTTTGCAAACACCTTTGGGCATCAATCTTTTTATGCACCTCTGGTTATTTCTGTAGAGCAGATTAACTGAACAATTGGATCAAAGGGCATAGGTGGCTTTAAGTCTCTCAGTCAATAATGAAAAGTTGCCTTCCCAAATGGCTGGGCCGGTTTGCATTCTCACAGAGTTTGGGAATGTCAGTCACACACTCCCTTATACTGTGATTGTTGGGCGCCTCAGGATATGAGCGGAGACTGGAGGCCAGGGACTTGCTTGGGCATCTCCAACCTTGTGCCCAGCTCAATGTGTGGCACATAATAAACCCATCCCATTGCTGTCAAGTCAATTCTGATTCATTGCGACCCTATAGGGTTCAATAAACGTTACGTGGACAAATAAGAGAAAATGAAGACCCAGAGTAGTTCAGGGGCTGTAGGGTAGAAAGCAGGGCACACTGTCTGAGTCATCGTGAAGGCCAGCTCCAAACAGCTTAGCATCAGTTAGTAAGGGGACTCAGTACAGACAGAGGTGGAAGGCATGATAAGCCCAAGAACCCTTGACATGGGAGTTGAGGTGGCTGATGGGAGATGAGGAAGCCACACTTCAAAGTCAGTTAGAGGCAGATGCTGGTGAGGATGCTCTGAAGACTGGCAGCAACTCTTTTTTGTACTCCACTCTGCGAGCACCAGTTTTTATGCACAGCCCTGGAAGAATTACCTTCACTGCATCAGCAAGGTCATCAAACTCTTTGTTCACCTGGCTATCCTGAGAAGAAAGCCCATTACAAGGCAGTAAGTTATTATTATGTACATTATCACTATATTTGACAATACACACTATATATGACTATACACACACACACACACACACATCTCAAAGATGCTCCTAAGGGCAGCTTCTCTTCTGTGGATGACAACCTCACACTCCCCAACCTATTAAAGGGGAAAGGCCTTAGGGCTCCTTTTAGGGGCATGCTCTATGTCTTCATCCGGGGGCTGGTGACATGGGATATGCCATTTGTGAAAATTCACTTAATATATGAACATTTTTCAGTATAAATATTGTACCTCAATGAAAATTTAAAAAGGGGCTGGGGAGAAAAGAACTAGCAATGACCGAGTCTTTCTCCTCTTGAGGCCTTTTCCACAGGGTCTATCATCTCATTCAATCTTCACAATTACCCTGGGGGGTAGGTATTAATTAGCCCCATTTTACATAAGAAGCTGGGAAGGGTTTTTACTTGAACTGTAAGGATTTTTAAAGACATTAGGGTTAGAAGACATTAGGGTTAGAAGTCTTGCCTGCCATGCGGGAAATCCGGGTTTGATTCCTGCCCAATGTACCTCATGTGCAATCATCACCTGGCCTGCATGTTGCTATGATGCAACATAGGTTTCAGTGGAGCCAGGAAGAAAAGCCTAGCAATCTACTTCCAAAAATCAGCCAGACATCCTCTCATTCTGTTGTGCATGGGGCCCCTGGGAATGAAGGCCAACTCTAAGGCAGCTAACAACAACATAAGAATTCTTAACTATCTCCCTCAAGGCTGAGGATTAGTCAGATTATACTAATGATAACAGCTAAGGAAACAGAAAATAGGAAATTGGATTTGGGCTAGTGTTGTTAGTCATTAATTCCAAGATTCCAGGCCTGATTGCTTCTAAAGTCCATGGTATTTCCATTATACTAGAAGCTTCTGCTAATAACCCTACACTGTGTTGAATAAAAGAATGTCTGAGTGGTGCAAAGGGTTAACACACCTGGCTGCTAACTGAAAGGCTGGACGTTCAAGTCCACCCAGAGGCACCATGAAAGAAAACCTTGGTGATCAACTTCCTAAAATTCAGCCATTGAAAACCCTACGGAGTACAGTTCTTTTCTGACATTCATGGGGTCACCATGAATCAGAATCTACTCTACAGCAACTGGTTTGGTTTTTGGTTTTGGTATTGAATAGACATGTATTTTGGCAGAATAATTTAATATATAATTCCATTGTGTTTGGAGTGATAGAATTCAGAGCTACAGAAATTCCTAAGAGCAGAATGAACACAGTAAAGGCAAGCTATTACTAGCTAATAAGGGTATCCTGGCTTTGGAGTCATCGTAGAGACCAGGTAGTTAGAAGGAAACAGAACATTTGATACCAGTTGTCCCAACGACTGAAGGATTGGAATTGTAAAAACCCATCTCTAGGAACGCTTTTCACTCAAGCCTGAGTTGAAATAAATCAGGGTTAGTATAAGCAGTAAATGATTTGCAATTAGACTTTCTTTTAACAATTTGTATTTTCGGGGATTTTTCTCTTTCTGTCTTTAATGTTTAACTGCCTGAGAAAAGGGTGACATTTTTCTATATTAAAAAAGTAAAACTGAATGAAAAGGAGTCCTAATCTCCTGTACAGCCACACATGTGAATTTTGCAACGCCACGCATAATCCACTTGCAGGCAGTATAGCTTTGTAAGTGCTGAACCTGCAAATCTAAACAGCAGTTAACAGTAAGCAACATGTACTTGACCCAGCTACTTTCTCAGCCAGTGCAGAAACCAGGCCAAGTTCAGAGGTAAGACCATGGCGCTCCCCCATGGAGTGGGGCCGTAGTGCCACAGTGGCATTGTGACTTACATCGAGGCCTAGGTTTGAATCTTGACTCTGCTATGCTTTGTATTTGGCCAGGGCATTTTAATTCTCTGATCCTACTTTCTCCCTCTAAAATGATGTTTTAAAGAGAAAAGAAACAGAGGCCCAAATTGATAGATTCTTCTGAGTGTATAGGAAATTTCACAAAGGTCACTGCCCAATGTGGCATGCACCCAAGAACAGATAAACTAGAGCAAAGGAGATGCAATGGAGACACAAAATCGAACAAACCCCCTTTGTGACGAGACATCTGTTAACCATGAACTCACTTAGTTTACCTTGTGTAAAGAGTTTAGCTTTACTTGCACGCAGCCATCTAAGATGCATCAATTGGTCCCAACCCACCTGGAGCAAAGGAGAATGAAGAACACCGAAGACACAAGGAAAATATTAGCCTGAGAGACAAAGGGCCACATAAACCAGAGACTCCATCAGCCTGAGACCAGAAGAACTAGATGGTGCCTGGCTACCACCAATGACCGCCCTGACAGGGAACACAACAGAGTCCCTGATGGAGCAGGAGAAAAGTGTGGAGCAGAACTCAAATTCAAGTACAAAGACCAGACTTAATGGTCTTACTGAGACTGGAACAACCCCAGAAGACATGGCCCCAGACTCTCTGTTAGCCCAGAACTAAAGCCATTCCCAAAGCCCACTCTTCAGACAAAGACTAGACTGGACTATAAGATAAAAAATGATACTCGTGAAGAGTGTGCTCTGTAGTTCAAGCAGATACATAAGACCAAATGAGTGGCTCCTGTCTGGAGGCAGGATGAGAAAGCAGGGACAGGAGCTGGTTGGAGGAACACTGGAAACTGGGGTGGAAAGGGGGAGTGTGCTGTCACATATAGGGATTGCAACTAGGGTCACATAACAATATGCGTATAAATTTTTGTATGAGAAATTAACTTGAGCTGTAAACTTTCACCTAAAGCACAATAAAAAAAAAAAAAAGAGCTTAGCTTTAGCCAAATTAGTCTGGTCTTCGCCCTAGTTTTCTGAGAAGATAATTCCAAATCTTTGGAGTGCCCTAAGTAATTGAGATCTGTTTGTTGTGCAAATGAGTGCTGGGTAGTCAGGCCTCAAGGTCCACCTGGTGGCCTCCAAAGAAAGGGGAGCCTGATTCAATTATGCTAACGCTAGCCAAATAGTAAATTTTCTACTTTGTATTTCCTCTCTTTTCTCCTTAAAAGCTCGCTATAATTAGCCTTCTATCTTTCTAAACAGAGGGCTCCCTGTATGCGTACAGATTAACTGCCCGAATGAACCCTGTAACTTTCATTCTTTTTCGGCTTCAATTATTTTAACAATGGAGATAACGATACCTCACCAGGCTGTTGGGAAGGTACAAGGTGAAGATGGGAGTGAGGCTTATGAAAAGCACTTACAGAGAAATCCAGCAGTTCTAAGGCAGATGCTGGGTTATCCTGGACAGACTTGAGAACGCCAAAGCAGCCTTCACTTCGCATAGGATTCCTAGACACCTAAGAATCACACACACACTTGAGAGAAGTTGAGCCAGGGAGGCCGAGAGGGCAACGCAAAAGCTGATATGGATCAGGGGGATCTCACAGATCTCAGACCCCTGGGTGAGGCAGCTGGTCAGGGGAGACAGGAAGGGAGTGAACAAAGACTGAGTCCCACCTTGAGCCAAGCAAAAGACACAGGGACACCCTCGAAGTTCAGAGGGGGAGGGGAAAAGGAAACAGGTCATAAAAATGCTGAGATGGGGGTGCAGATAACACCTGAGCTGAGCTTTACAGGGAGGTGGGTGGAGCTGGGCAATTTTGGCTGGAGGATCAGCAAGAGGGGAGGTGAGAAGTAGCACCACATAGCTCGGGGTGAGAGAGATGAAGCTCAAACAAGGTGAGAAGGAGGATATGGCTCAAAGCCTGGGTTGGTCCTGAAGAGAGTGGCTGAAGGGTTTAAAGCAGGGAATGGGTTTAGAAAGCTACCTGGTGGCAGGTGGGAAGGACAGAGATGGGAAACAACAGAGAGGGATGAAGCTAGTGCAGGGGTGGTGAGAGGCGGGCGGAGGTAGGGCAGTGAAGGGCAGAGTGGGGCGTCAGGGACTAGAAGGACTAGGCCCTGGCTTCTGGCCCTTGAGGAGAAGAGGCAGCTCTCAGGGCGAGATGAGTCTCTCAGATTGGACTGTCAGAATCTGACGTGTCTGGGGGACTCCAGGGAAGACCGCCTAGCAAGCGGCTGGGAATTCAGGCCAGGGCGTGAGGGGGAGGTCTGGGTTCGAGGCAGGGCTGGGAGCAAGGAGGACTCTGGCTGGTGAAGGCTCCATGGGGTGGGAGAGCATGGGGAAGTAGCACTGGGAAGGTCCGGCCAACGTCCCCGGGGCTGGGGACAGGTTCCCTGAGCACACACTGTGGTACAGCAATCTTCCTGGACCTGTCCTACCCTCACCTTCCTCACATCCTTCCCTTCCTCTCACCCTCTCAGCTCTGCTCAGCAGCCCCCTCCCCACCTGCAGCCCCTGAGGACAAGACCCCTCTGGGCTGAAACAGTCTCAGGCAGGTGTGAGCAGTGGCCAACAGCACACCTGGGCTGACTCCTGGGTCTCTGGTCTTGCAGGGGATGAGAAGCAAGGGTGCTGGCCACCTGGGCACAGCAGCACTACAGCTGGTCGGCTGTCCAGAGAGAGGAAGGGAGGTGTGAGGAGCAGCAGGGAGGGGAAGTGTGAAGAAGCACTTGGACAAGGCTAGAGATGGGGGAGCAATGGCAAGAGAAGGAAGTGCTCACAAGAGGAAGCCCTCTCCTTGAAAACCTTCCTCACTGAGACACCCCCCCTCCACCCCGCCCCACAAGATTCCTGTTTGGGCTATGGAGCCAGCATGCACCACTGCCATGGGGTGGGAAGATGTGGCAGGGGAAGGGCAGGGCTGTGCTAGACCTCCCCCATTGGGCTAGCACTCACAACAAGAATCCTCAGTGTCTGGTTGACCCGGAGGCCCAGGCCCAGGCTCAGGGCTCCCACTGCTGAGATGCGGTTGTTGCTGTAACAAAAAGACCAGGTCATTGTGCCACCTTCCTGCAGCTGTGCAGATCCCGGGTTGCCCCAGGACTCCTCTGCCTCCCTCCACGGTCCAGCCAGAGCTGCTGCTGCATCCACTCCTGCTCCAGGGATCCAGGACAGGTCAATGCATAAAAGGTGATACTGACCCTGGCTCATTGTGGTTCATGTGTTCAGCCAAAACACCTGCCATGTCCCTCCCTAAGGTGGAAACCAGCTGCTCCACCCTTGGCCCTTTGAGCTCTGCAGTGCTCCCGTGTAGTCTTCCCCAGCTGGCACCCCAAACCTATTGCAATGGCAGTGCCTGTTCTGGACAATCAATACTCCATTCCTCCCAGCCCTGCTCAGCTGGCTGGATCCAAACACCTGGCCTTGGCACCACTCTCGGCCATAGTCTCCAGAGCCAGTCCAACTCCACTCTGACTTCTCAGATCCTGGTACTGACTGCACTGGCTGGGCTTGCCTCTTACTTCAGCACCTCTTGGGCCTCCTCTAGCCTTGGCTCCTTCCATCGGGAGAGGAGGTGGACAGGATTGTGTGGGCTGGGAGGGGCTCAGCCATGGCTGGCGATGGCCCTTTGGACCTTGGCCCCTTTTTTCCCTCTGGCCTTGCAGCCCAGCTCTGGTTACCTGCCTGGGCCTGGAGGAGCACCTTGCACATGGCAGCCCCCAGGAGCCATATGCCCAGGTGTCAGGACCCTGCCCTGCCCTGCCCCACCTAGACTAGGCACCTCTGCTGAGAGGGAGTGAAACCTGCATGGAGTACCCACCCACACCAGGCTCTACTGACAGGGCTGTACACATGTGTCTGCTATTCCAGCCACCTCTCTGTGTGGTGGGAACCATGGATCCCATTTATAAGTGGTGAACTTCAGTGAGAAAGGCAGAGCTGGGGCTCTCAGATAGCGGCTTACTATGGACAGAATTGTGTCCCCCCAAAAAAGGTGTGTTGGAATCCTAACTTGTGGATGTGATCCTGTTTGGAAACAAGGTCTTCTTTTTTATGTTAATTAGATCATACCCAAATAGGATGGGTTCTAAATCTAACCACTTCTGAGTTATAAAAAGAACAGAATAGACACAGAGATACCCACACATGCGGGCGGGGGTGTGTGTGGAGACAGGGGCCATGTGATGATCATCTATTTGCCAAGGCATCAACACCCAGGACTACCTACAAGGAAGGAACTGACACAGCCAAAACCTTTTGGATTTTTAGCCTCTAGAACTGTGAGACGATAAATTCCTGTTCTTTAAAGCCATCCATCTGTGGTATTTTTGTTACAGCAGCACTAGGTCACCAAGACATGGCTTAAGCCCCAACACCAGCAGACTGTGGTCAGTTTGGAAATTAAAATGTTGACCATATGGCTGAGGCCCTGGCCCCTGAGGGTGGCTGTGGGCCCGGAGACTGTGATGCAGGTAGCACCCTGTGCCCCTCACCTCATGTTGAGTTCCTCCAGCACGGTGTTGGCCTTGAGGGCCTCGCCCACTGCTGAGGCCCCAGGGTCACCAAAGCCATTGTATGAGATGTCCAGGACCTTCAGGAAGATGTTTCCCTATAACACAAAAGAGTAAAGCCATGGGAGTCACAGCTGGCAGTGGAGAATGCCAGAAGGTCACAGCCTTGGAGACCCAGAGGCCTGAGATGCAAACAGCATGACAAGGGGTAGAGGTTCCCAGGAGGACCAAGGTGTCTGAGGGAAGCGCTATGCAGGCCCTCCTTAGCTGTGGCTCAGATGATGAATGGCAGGGCCAATAACCTGAAGCACGAAAGGCCCTCAGGAGCCAGGGGTCTGCCAAGAGTCTGCAGGCGCCAGAGCAATCAGATATCACCTTTTATGGATTGAATTGTGTCCCCCCAAAAAATGTGTGTCAATGTGACTAGTCCATGATGGCCAGTATTATGTGATTGTCCACCATTTTGTCATCTGATGTGATTTTCCTATGTGTTGTCAATCCTGTCTCTATGATGTTAATGAGATGGGATCAGCGGCAGTTATGTTAATGAGGCAGAACTCAATCTCCAAGATTAGCTTGTATCTTAAGTCAATGTCTTTGGAGATATAAAAGAGAGAAGCCAGCAGAGAGACATGGGACCTCATACCACCAAGAAACAAGAGCCAGGAGAACAGCGCATCCTTTGGACCTAGGGTCCCTGCACTGAGAAGTTCCTCGACCAGGGAATACTGATGACAAGGACCTTCTCCCAGAGCCGACAGGGAGAGAGGCCTTCCCCTGGAGCTGGCACCCTGAATTCGGACTTTTAGCCTCCTAGACTGTGAGAGAATAGATTTCTCTTTGTTAAAGCTACCCACTTGCAGTTCTTCTGTTATAGCAGCACTAGATGACTAAGGCACCACCCTTACCTGGGAGCCTCTAAAGGGCAGGGAAGAAATCTTCCCAGAGGACTGTGATGAGAAAGAGACAGTAGCTTGTGGTGCCTCGGCCTCAGGTCAGCCCCTGTAAGCGGGCAATCAGCTGCTGCCGTTCCCTGAGGAAGACCCCAAAAGGGAGCTGGCACTGTAGGCATTACAGGCACCTGGTACCACCTCAGCAGGGGCGTCAGCCACTCATTCTCGTGACCTACAACCCCCAACATCCAGGGAGGCTAGTAGGATGTTTGAGAATGTGTGCTGGGACCCAAGGGTACAAGGGTTGTGTTGTGGACTGAATATGTCCCTCAAAACTATATGTTAAAGTCCTGGACCCTGTACTTGTGGATGTAATCCTGTTTGGAAACAGGGTTTTTCTTTTGTCATGTAAATAAGGTCATACCAGAGTAAGGTGGGTCCTAAACCTAATCACTTCTGAGTTATAAAAAAAAAAGAGTAGACTTCTGACAGGGATCACAACAGAGGGTCCCAGACAGAGCTGGAGAAAAATGTAGAACAAAATTCTAACTCACAAAAAAAGACCAAACTTACTGGCCTGACAGAGACTGGAGAAACTCTGAGAGTATGGCCCCCGGACACCCTTTTAGCTCAGTACTGAAGTCACTCCCAAGGTTCACCGTTCAGCCAAAAATTAGACAGGCCCATAAAACAAAACAAGACTAATAGGGGCACAACAGCCCAGGGACAAGGACCAGAAGGCAGAGGGGACAGGAAAGCTGGTAATAGGGAACCCAAGGTTAAGAAGGGACAGTGTTGACATGTCATGGGGTTGTTAACCATTGTCATAAAACAGTATGTGTACTAAATGTTTAATGAGAAACTGTTCTGTAAACTTTCATATAAAGTACAATAAAAAAAAGCAGATTAGACAAAGAGACAAAGGTATGAGGTCCCCATGTCTCTCTGCTCGCTTCTCTCTTTTATATCTCCAAAGAGATTGACTTAAGACACAACCTAATCTTGGAGATTGAGTTCTGCCTCATTAACATAAATCATTTAAAAAAATGATATTGATATGTGCTGCATACAGGGGCTCTGCTGGGCACAGGGTCCCAGAGATTAATCCAACACGGGTCCTATTCTACTTCAAGGAGCCTATATTTAATGGGGCAGATACAAATACAAGAGGCCATATGAAGACAGACACACAAGGCAGATGCCTCTACAAGCCCAGGAACACTAAGGATTGCCAGCTACTAGAAGCTGAAATAGACAAGGACTTCCCACTAAAGCCACACCCTGAATTCTGACTTCTAGCGTCCTGAACAGTGAGAAAATACATTTCTTTTCTTCAAAGCTACCCACTTGTGATATTTCCTGTTGCGACAGTGCTAGTGGCAAAGCAGGTGTTATCTCTGGGAAGCATCTGAGTATGCCCAACAGCTGTCGTGTGTCACTGGGGTTTATGAACATCCCTGGCCAGCTGAGTGTCTGTTATGTCTGGGGAAGGTGTGTGACATTCAGTTCTACTACACAAGAGGAAGTCATTGAATGGGGTTGGGAAAACTAAGTCACCTAAAGAAACACACTTTAAACTGTGCTCAAAAGACCCAAGATGCATTTCTGAAGAGCTGCAAAGACAGACAGCTGGCATCTGGGAGACCCTGCCCCACAGAGAACAGGTCGAGGGGCTGACTGGGCAGGGCACCTCTTACCTCCAGTCCCCTGGCAAAGGCTACAGCTCCTGGGCCTCGAAGGTGATTCCAGCTCACGTTAAGCTCGGTGAGTCCTGTGTTTTCTGCCAGGGCTGGTCCAAGGGTCTCCCCTTTAGAGACACCAAGAGAGACCACATTCACTCTGTTCATTCACTCAAAAAAAGAAACTTAGAAATGCAAATAGAAACTTGTACACCAGTGTTCAATGCAGCACTTCACAATAGCCAAAAGGTGGAAACAAAGGAAACGTCCATCAACAGATGAATGGATAAACAAAATGTGGTTCATACACACAATGGGATATTACTCAGCCATGAAGAGAAATGAAATCCTGATACATGTCACAACATGAACCTTGAAAACATCATGCTGAGTGAAATAAGTCAGTCACAAAAAAACTAATACTGTATGATCTCACTTATATGAAATAGGCAAATACACAGAAACCAAAGATAATTAGCAGTTACCAGGGGGGAAGGGGAGTTTTTGTTTATGGCATTAAGTTGATGTTAATGGTAGTGGAATAATTTGGAAAAGGATAGTGAGAATGGTTACAAAACTTGAAGAATGTAATCAATGTTGCTGAATTGTACATACAGAAATTGTTGTGATGGCATAAGTTTTGATATGTATATTTTCACCAGAATAAAATAAAATAAATCAATAAAAAATGATATTGATATCTGCTGCATCCAGGGGTTCTGATGGGCACAGGGTCCCAGAGATTAATCCAACACGGGTCCTGTCCTGCTTCAAGGAGCCCATATTTAATAGGGCAGATACAAATACAAGTCAATGGGATTTGAGCTATTATAGACTACAAACAGGCAGGTGTGAGAACAGAGTGGGGGCTACGCCTGCCTAGAAGGATCAGGAAAGTGAAGAAAGATCACCTTGAAGACAGGAGTTCAGCACCCATGCATATGGAGAGTAGACACAGGGAAGAGCGAGTGTGCAGAGGCAGGAGGGAGGACAGGGCACTTGTGGGATGCAGGTTGACTGGGTCAGGGGTAGTGGTGAGGGGGAAGCCAGTGAAATGAGGCAGAAGTGATGGACAGTGGAGAGATGCTAAGACCATGAATGCTAGGCCAAGGGACTTAGGCACTGCCCTGTAGGTGGTGAGGAGTCCGCAAAACCAAAAATCCCCTTGCCCTCGAGTCAATTCCAACTCATGACGACCTCATGTGTTAGAGAGTAGAACTGCTCCATAGGGTTTTCTTGTCTGTGATCTTTATGGAGACAGATCACCAAGCCTTCCTTCTGTGGCACCAGTGGGTGGGTTCAAACTACCAACCTTTAGGTTAGTCATCGAGCACAAACCATTTATGCTACCCAGGGACCTGAGGAGCCCCAGGAGGGCTTTGAGTAAAGAAGTGACAAGGCTGGGTTGGCATTTCAACAGGAACTTTAGTAGCAGGTGTAGAGGATGGGCTAGGGCAGGCTGAGGCAGAGACAAGAGGCAAGAAGACCAGTGGGAAGGCTTGTCCATAGTCTAAGCAAGAGGTGACAAGTCCGGCACAGCTGGGACAGAGAAGACTTAGTGGTGGTGGAGAAATAGAAGGGGTGGGGTGGGGTGGGTAAAAATCTGGAGAGGTATTTGACATGTAAAATGGGCAGAGTCCCTACCCCACTCTCCATTTTGTCAGCACTCAGTCTGTCTGACCTGCTGCGAATTCTCAGAAGCACTGACATTTCTCTAGGCCTTCACATGGGCTCTCCCTGGTTTCAAACCCTTGGCCCCTTTTTCACCTGGCTACCAGCTCCTCTTCCTTCTATTCTGTGTTCATGGCAGCGACAGGAAACTTTACTGGCCTGCTGGGCTGAGCCAGGCCTCCTCATGCCCCCTGTCCACTTAAGCGTCCATCCTGCCAGACTCTGCCTATCACGTCTCCCACAACCCTGAGAGTCCCTTGAGGATCTGAATATTGACCCGTCTCCCTGGTCCCAGCATCTAGAGCAGGTCTAGGAAGGCTGGTTTGAATAAATGCACAGAGGAAAAGCAGAATGAATGAACCAGAGCGCTCAGCGGCCTGCTGGGTCAAAATACGCCGTAGGGGGCAGACAAGCTTAGCACCTTGGAGAGCTCCCTGGCGGCATGAAGCCTCCCCCCCAGCTCTGCTTCCCAGAGAATGGGACCCAGCGCCCAGCAGTGGTCTGCCACCCCCAAGTGCTCAGATACAGGTACTTTCCTCCTTCCTCAGACCACCCCCTCCCCCACTTTGTGGGGCAGCCCCTTCTTTGTGGAACAGCTGGAGGGTGAGAAGGTTCTTCCTTTTACACACCTGAAGTTGTCCTCCTCCAACTGCCTGTGCTTGATTTTCATGACTCCTGCAGCCATCCCACGAGGTTGGTGCTACCATCTCCATTGGACAGGCTCAAGCTCCTTTACTCCTCAAGGGAGCTGGGTCCACCCACAGACTGCCACTTGGAAAAACAAAATGACCAGTCCAAGTCTACCCTTTGCCAGGCTCAGCGGCCTTGGCTTCCAGCCTTCTCCATCCCACTGCCTCTTGGGCTCCTGCCTCTGACTGTACGGGCCCAGAAGGGACACCTGGAGGTAGTTTGCTAACAAGCCTTTCTTTTCATTTTGCTGACTTCCCACATCATCTTCTCAGAAGACAAACTGGCCCACTGGCAGCGAAACCCCAGGACTACCCCCACTCTCTCTAAGCAGCTTGAGACAGAGCAGCAATTCCCAAACTGTCCATATCAGACTAATCGCCTGGGACATCCGTTAAGATGCAGAACTGCCGCAGCGTGTTCTGACTGAGCAGCCTGGCTGAATGCATTGCTTCGCCCATTTCGTTTTTCCTCTGCATTTTTTCAAACCAGCCTTACTAGACCTGTGCTAGGTGCTAGGACCACGCACAGGCCTCCCCACAAGAGTCTGGTTCTTAACCAAGGGGCCCAGGGGTTCTTATAATTGATTGGAGCATCTGGGGACAGGTGGATAAAGGTGCATGTCCCTGGCAAAGCATATAGCCCGTACAAAGGCCCTGGGGCATGAGAGAGAACGTGAGATCAAGGAATCCTACCCATGCCTTCTAGAACGCTTGGAATAAAATCCGCATGGCTTTTGCTATGACCTGCAATCCTGTTGCCTCTCCACAGCCTGGCCACTCTCCCCAGCTCACTAGTCACACTGGTGTCTGTCAGTCTGGGAAATGGACCTGCATGCTCGCTGTCCCTCTGCTTGAAGTGCTTTCCCTCTTGTCTTGTCATGGCTGATTTCTTTCCACCCTGACTGCATATTTAGTTTAGTTTAAATGTCACTTCCTTGTAGAGGCCTCCCTGGTCACCCTTCTAAATCCAAAAAACAAAACCAAATCCACTACCATCAAGTCGATTCTGACTCATAGCACCCCTATAGGACAGAGTAGAACTGCCCCATAGGGTTTCCAAGGCTGTAATTTTTATGGAAGCAGACTGCCACATCTTTCTCCCACAGAACGGCTGGTGGGTTCGAACCACCAACCCTTTCAGTTAGCAGCCAAGTGCTTAACCACTGCACCACCAGGGCTCCTTCCTTCTAAATCAGATGTCCCCGTCCTTTTCTAGAACCATGCCCTGTTTATTTTGTAGCACCAACAATTACTGAGAATTATCTTGTTAAATTCTGTTCCTTGAGGTCAGGGACTTTGTTTTATTCACAGCTGGGTTCCTACTGGCGAAATCAGTACCCAGCTTCTACAGCAGTGGTCACTCAGAGATATTTCTTGGATGAATGAAGAGTTCTGTGTGGCCAGAGTGGGAGAGGGTAGGGAGTAGAAATGTCCACGCCAGGCTGAGTGTAGACACTCTCTGGAGGGTACTCAGTGTGGTCTTGCCAGCCCACCCACACCCACCTGAAGAAGTCGAGTGAGTGTTACCTGCTCCATCACTCAGCTCATTATAGCTCAGGTCCAGGGACTGCAGGCTCATGTGCACCAGCAGGAGCTCAGCAATGTACCAGGCCGCCTTCTCCTCCAGGCCATTTCCTGCCAGTTGCACCTTTCGCACGGCTGGGTTTGCCATGAGGGCGGCACAGAGGGCCTGGACTCCCACCACTCCCAGCTGGTTCTCCGACAGGTCCATATCTGCAGGGCAGCACCATTCCTTGGTCAGTGGGATCCAAAGCCAGGTGGGGAGGGGTGCGAGGAAGCAGGAACCACAGGCATCACCCCCTCCACCTTCCACCATCCCCCAAACCCCCAAGCCTGAGGCAGCAGAAAGGTCTTTGCAGTCGGGCTGCCTTGGGGTTGCATGGCACCTCTGCCCCATTGGCTGGGTCTCCTCGAGCAGGTTTCCTGACCCCCTTCCAGAGTATCTATGACCTCATCCCATCTCTGCCTCATTGGTTGGGTCTCCTCAGACCATAAGCAGGTTCCCTGACCTCCCTATCCCGGCATGTCCATGACCTGCTCTGGCCAGGGGTTCAAATCACCTACTTGGTGGTGCTGTGAAGAATGCCTGTGATGGCTGTGCAGTGGCCCGCATCGAGGATTCATGCCGGATAGTGATATAACCCATTCAGAGAAGCCCCCACTGCCCACCTGCAAGGACTGGCAACAACAGCCAGGTGGCCAGGCACTGAAACTCACTTCCTGTAGTTGGTTTCAGTCAATCCTCAGCACAACCCCAAGCACAAAAGGGTGCTGTTGGTGTCACTTTACAGATTGGAAACAGAGGCTCAGCGAGGCAAAGCTGTCTGCCCCAGGTCACCTGCTCTTCATGAGCAGAGCCTGCATTCAACAGGAGCCCCAATCTCCTGTCCTCCTGTGCTACCCAGTCTCTCCCACCCACCCACCCACCCCCTCTCCAGGGCAGGGCGCATGGCACTTCTCCTTCCACTGTGGTCAGCCAGTCCACCGTGTGCAGAAGGCTAGGAGGGAGGTGTGTGGCGGGAGTGGGTCAGAAGGGGAGTGGAATCTAGCATGGGTGCACCCCAGAGGGTCTGACTCCATCCTCCCCGCATGCCCACCTTGTCACGAGGCCCCTCCCCATCTCCCTTTAACACCAGCAGGCCCTGGGTGAGAAGATTCCAATATGCTTAGGAAAGGGAGGACTCAGGTCTGCTCACCTGCCCCAGACTTGACACCTACCACAGATGCAGCTGCTTTTGCTTAGGGCCCCTACCAGGGCCTCTGCCCCGGCTGCACAGAGCCCGTTGTCCCGAAGGTCCAGCCGCTTGATGTGGGGACTGGAGAACAATGCAGAAGCCAGAGTCTGGGCCCCCTGGACAAGAGCAGACACAGTTGGCCACGACCTTGGCCCCTGCCCTTAAGGACCAACCTACTCTGCACCCACCTACTGGGAGGCCCACCCTGTTCCAGTGCCCAGGGCACACAGCTTCTCCTTCCAGACTCCGCCCAGACCTCACCCCCTGGCGCCTTCCCTGACCCCCCAGTGGGGTGAGGGGCCCCTGCAGGCTGCCCAGCCTTGATGCATATCTCTGTCATAGCCTTGCTCACGTTGGTATCCAGATGTGGGAGATGGACCACGCCGGCCCAGAGGAAGGTCACGGGGTATAGGATGGGCACAGCACTACCTTCAGGGAGGGAACAGGCCCTCCCATGTCTGCTGCCCCCATCCCACTGAGCCTGGTTCCCGGGTCCCTCCAGAGGTACCTGCGGCCCCAGGCCATGGTGCCGCAGGGTCAGTTCTGAGGCGCTCCCTTCGCGCCGAAAGCAGGAGGTGAGCACGATGCTGTGGGCCCTGCGAGGCTCCCTGACAAGGTCTCTAAGCCCACAGGTGCCTGGGAGGAGACATGGGATGAATGTGGACCCCTCCCTGGGGCACAGCCACCTGCTCCTCCCCTGCCCTCCATCACCACCCAGTCTATGCTTCACCTCTGGAGGTGCTTCTTCCTGTGCCAGTAGGGATACCCATAAACCCATTGCCTTTTGAGTTGATTCTGACTCACAGTTGACGCTATGGAACAGAGTAGAACTGCCCCATAGGGTTTCCAAGGTTGTAATCTTTATGAAAGCAGACTGCCGACTGCCACATCTTTCTCCCTCAGAGAGGCTGGTAGGTTCAAACAGCCGACCTTTTGGTCAGCAGCCAAGTGCCTAACCATTGTGCAACCAGGGCTCCTTTCCAGTAGGTATAGTGCCTCCATATTGTGCTGAGAACATCAAGGTTCCGAAAAAGCAAGCCTTTCCCCAAGGCCACACAGCTCGTAGGTGGCAGAAGAGGGCTAGGACCCCGAGTATCTGACGCCAAAATGCATGCTGTTAGACAACCGACAGCTGCCACCAATGATTTATGAACACTTTAGGGGGGAAAAGCAGAAACAATTATAAATTCTACACATTCATTAGCTTAGTTTTTCCTGTGTGTTGAGAAAATCCAGCCCTGAAGCCATTTCAGGCTGGGGCAGCCCTTCTACACTATTTCAAAGAGTTTTTGCATTTTAACGTTATTCTGGAAGCGCGCTCCAATGGTGGACTCCTGAGGCTCCAGGAGTATGGGGGAGGGCACCGGGTTGGGGGGCCACCGGCTGAAAGGTGCGCTCCCTGATGGACAGGGATCCCTACCCACTCCGGCCCCAGTCTGCTTCCCCCACCCCCGCGGGAGTAGCCCACAAGCTGCGGAGCGAGGCCTAGTCCACCCTGCCCAGGGGCACCTTCAGTCTCCAGGTCAGAGTCCGAATCCGTGTTCGCCCCCTCCTCGGCCTCCCGGACCCCTGCAAGGGGCCCAGAGACCGCCACCGCCTCTTCCTCCGGCCGTTTTCTCTCCGCAGACAACTCGCAGGGAGCCCCCGCCATTACGCCCATTTCGCAGAACCAGGCAGAAAGGCCAACACCTCGCCGGCGCTGCACCAGGAGCGCCGCAGGGAATGCGGGTGGGCTCTCCGGCTGCACAGACCAATAGGGCGCGGCTTTCAGCGAACAGGCGCCCGCCGCAGCCTGTTGGCGCTCTCCCGGAGGCGGTGCCCAGGCGACGGAGTTGTTGGTTGTCGCAGAAACCGCCGCTTGCCCACTCTGCGCCTGTGCTCTGCTCGCCTGAGGCAATGAGCGCTCGGAACGGGCCAAGCGCAGGGCTAGGCGGTGTGAGGGCTCTTAATCTCCCTGCTTCTCTATGAGGGTCACCATTTCCCCATTTCACCGACTTCAGAACGTGTGCTTGAGTCAGTGCGCTATTCCCTGCTTAAAAGTGGAGAGAGACCCCTAGCTCTGTGGGAGTATTGCACAGGAGGACCTGGGGAGCCTTGCAGAGTTGGCTCACCCTCCTCTCTGCAGCCAGGGCCATGCTCTCCCTCAGGTAACTTCCGTGGCTCCCAGTTCTCTCTCATGCTCTGGCATGAGAACATGCTTCCCCCGCTTTGTCAGCTTGTTGAATTTCAGAATCCGCCAGTGTCAGCTCAAAGGTCACTTTTTCCTCAATCTTTCCTTGACCCCTCCTCTCCTAGCACTTGTAACACCTGTCACCCTCCCCACCCCAAGGAATGAGCCTTAGAGGGAGGCCTCCAGAGGGCAGGGGTAGGGCTGCTCACGTGCGCTCTGGGTGCCCAGGGCCAGCAGTGGGGTCTGGAAAGGATGGGAGTGGGGGCGGGCCTGAGCCCCGGGCTGAGGGTGGAGGCTGATGACTGCCTGTGTGGATGTGTCCCTTTAATAGCTGCTGGCCTGGCCCAGCTTGGGCTCCTGCCTTGCCTCCTGCACAGCAGTCGTGCTGACTCATGTGTCCTGGCAGGCTGCAGGAGCCAGGAGCATGGGTGCCCCAGGGGCTGCGGCTGGCTGGGGGCTTCTGGATTACAAAACAGAGAAGTATGTGATGACCAGGAACTGGCGGGTGGGCGCCCTGCAGAGGCTGCTGCAGCTTGGGGTCGCAGCCTACTTGGTCGGGTAAGAGATCGGCTCCTTGCCAGGTGATCAGGCCTGCTGGCGGGGGGTTGATTGTTGGGTTCTTCAGGGGCTGGGCTGGAGGGGAGCAGGCTGGGACAGGGTGAGGGGCAAGCAGGAGGAGGGGTCTCCCTGTGTCCAGAGGACAGCAGGATATAAGAGCAGACTGTGAGCTTGGTCCCTTGTGCCCACCTGCTTCCTCGGGGCTTTGCCCCAGCCCTGTGTTGGGCTCTGGGCACAAAGCTGTAGAAGCCCCAACCGTAAGCCCAGGAAGCGCCCTAGCGAGACATTTGTGAGAGCTGAAGCGCTAAGCCACCCATCCCCCACCCCCCACCCCGCCCCAGATAAATAGCCAGTTCTAGCTGGGGCCCAGGGGAGTCTTTAGGAGGGAGCTGAGTCTAGCAGGGGCGGGGTGTCAGTGGTAGGGGTCATCTCAGCCTGGGGCACTGGCTGTGGTGTGTGACCAGCACATCTGGCCCAGGGCTCTGGAGTAGGAAGTGACGCTGGAGAGGAGGATACGTGGGGACAGGAGGGGAGGTATGTGACTGCAGGGTGGGGTAAATGGTGTCCTGCACACACCACACTGCCCATCTCCTCCCCAGGTGGGCCCTCCTCACCAAAAAAGGCTACCAGGAGCAGGACCTGGACCCCGAGGTCTCTGTCATCACCAAACTCAAAGGGGTTTCTGTGACACAGATCAAGGACCTTGGGAACCAGCTGTGGGACATGGCCGACTTTGTGAAGCCACCACAGGTGAGCACTAGGCCCTGCTGTCAGGCCCAAATCCTCTGAAACTGCCCTCTGTGCTCTCGCATCAAGTGTATTTGAGAGAGACCTGCCAGAGGAGACGCCTCACGAGGAGTACCGCCTGGTCAGGGCTTTCAGGCATGTGTAGGAGGTTTCCAGATGGGCAGGGCACAAACGAGGGGACTCCAGGGAGCCAGGCCAGAGGACCTACATTGACAAAGCCTGCATCCGGAAGGAAGTAGGGTGACTGGGAACAGCTGGAGGCTTGAGCTTGAGGGCCGGTGGGAAGGACGTGGGGGTCCCTGGAGCTTTCCACTCTCCTGTCCCTGACCTGGGCCAGCACTGTCGGGCACCCTCCTCTGCCCTCTCTAGGCCGTTGCCCGGCCCCTCCTCCCTCTACACAGTAACCCCCTCCATTCTGCCAATGCCCAAATTGTAGCCCCAGGGACCACCTTCCCCGAGCCACCAATGCACATCTACCATGTCCAAAGAGGAGTCACCTCCCTTTCTCAACTCTAGCTTCTCCTCATGCAGCAAGCCTGTGATGACGTCCACCAGTTCCAAAGCCTCAACACCTTCCTGTCCCTCCCTCCGGTCAATTCCATCTCCTAACACATTTCACTATTGCCCATGCCAGTCTGGGATGAGGCTGAGGTCTCCTGATGGGCCCTTGGCTTCCCCTCTTGCCCACTCCCACCCCAGGTGTACTTTCCACAGCAGCCAAGCCAGGACACTGCCAGCCCCTGCTTTTACTCTTTGAAGGTCCCCTTCTGTGATGGTGGCCACCAAGCCTTTCCATAGGCTGAGTGCTGCCACACCTCCCACTGCCCTCTCCAGTCCTCACTTCCCTCCCAGGGCATGAACTCAGACACGCAGAGCTCTCCCTGTAGCCCTGGGTGTCACCTCTCTGTCCTTGGCCACCCTTTGACCTGCCAGGTGTGTGATAAGGGGCTCGCCTCTCCCACTAGCCCCAGCAGGGGCCCAGCCTGACCCAGCTCTGAATTTTCAGTGCCTAGAAGCAGGAGGCTCCTGGACAATTCCAGCTGAGTGAATGAGTGTGAGTGAGGAAAATAGCCTTGTCCCAAAGGAGTAGCCATGGGTTGAGGCTCCCTGGGCTCAAAAATGGCCCAAAATCCAGCCAGCCTCCCACCCCAACCTCAACCTGCCTCTCTGGAGGCATTTTTCTTGGGGACAAGGTTGGTGAGTAGACAGGGCTGGGACCCCTGCCCTTGCACACCAGGCTACTGGCCTCTGACCTCTCCAGTGGAGGCAGCCAAGCAGGTGTCAATGCCAGGACTTGCCTCCTAGGGAGAAAACGTGTTCTTGGTGACCAATTTCCTTGTGACACCGGCCCAAGTTCAGGGCAAGTGCCCAGAGGTAAGGCTGCTGGAGCCTCCCCGTGGGTCCCTGGGCACTCCTGCCACCCCTGGTTCACCAGCCACGTGCCCGTTATCCTTCCTTCTCCTTCCCAGGCGACCAAGAGCTCACTGTGTGTTTATTTGGCCCCAGGCACTGGGCTAAAAACCTCTCTGTGAATCTTTTCACTTCATCTTCACAAATACCCTGGAAAGAATGTTATCCCCATTTGTGATAAGTGGACTCAGGCTCAGAGAGGCTCAGTCACTAGCCCAAGGCCTCACAGCCTGAGGGTGAGAGGGCCAAGATGAAGGCTTAGTTCAGATGACCCCAATGCCCCAGCTGTGGACCTCTGAGCGCTGGACTCCCATGCCTCCCGCTATCTGATGTTGTTCCCCATGAGGGGTCCCCCCCCCGCCCTCCCCGCCACCCCGGACTTCCTACCTCTCTAGGGCACAAAGCACGGTTGGGCTCTAACAGAAAAAGCAAAGCTTCTCTATGCCCAGCCTCTATTAATGTGTCCCGAGGCAGCTTCGTTTTTTTTGGGAAACCATAGCACACATAACCACAAATTATCTCCGGGTAGTTTTTTTGTTTGTTTTTATTGTGGTAAAAATATATACAGGTCCTTGGGTGGCACAAACACTTTGCTCTCAGCTGCTAACTAAAAGTTGGCAGTCCAAACCCAACCTGCAGCACTGTGGAAGAAAGGCCTGACAATATTCTTCCATAAAGATTACAGCAAGAAAACCCTATGGAGAATTTCTACTCCAACACATAGGGTCGCCATGAGTTGGAGTCGATTCCATGGCAAATGGAAGAAGAAATATAAATAACAAAACATTTGCCATTTTAACCTTTTTTGCACGTACAGTTCAGTGACATTAGTTACATTCACCTTGTTGGGCAACCATCTCTAGGTATTTTTCACAACTGTGGTCAAGCCAGGTGTCCCCACTCTCTTGTCCATTTTGTGTCCAGAAATGCAGGTTCTCTCCTGAAGTATCACCTTGTTCCCTTGCCTGGGGATGTCCCCAGGGATCTGTATCTGTCATGGAGCACACTCACTCTTGTCCCCAGATGTAAATTCTGTTTAAACAGTTGGGACCCAAGACATAGTCCTGGGAGCCTGTCGCCATGGTGATATCAAGTGCAGATATTCAATCCATTGCTGGGCTGGAGGGTAACTATGCAGTCATCTGTCCCCCAGCACTGATGGTTGGTCCCACCAAAATCACTGTAGATGCCACGTGCCTACGGTTGGCCCCTGTCCATAGAGAGAGGAGGTGTGTGCATAAAGGATGTGCTATGCTTGGCGATCCCAAACGACATCCTTTCCTTCCCAAAAGCTCTCAAAAAAAACCACACAAACAAAAAAAAGTTGCCATTGAGTGGACTCTGAGTCATAGTGACCCCATATGTGTCAGAGTAGAACTGTGCTCTATAGGGTTTTTGTTTTTTTTAAATCCTGGTGAAAACATGCATAACAAAACATATGCCATCTCGGACCATGGTCTCGGGGAATATCTAGCTCAACTGGCATAACACAGTTTATAAAGGCAATGTTCTACATTCTACCTTGGTGAGTAGTGTCTGGGGTCTTAAAAGCCTGTGAGCAGCCATCTAAGATACTCCACTGGTCTCACCCCTTCAGGAGCAAGGGAGTGTGAAGAGAACAGGATACAAGGGAAAGATTAGTCCTAAGGACTAATGTACCACAGCTATCAAGGCCTCCACCAGACTGAGTCCAGGACAGCTAGATGGTGCTCGGCTACCCCCACTGACTGCTCTGACTAGGATCACAACAGAGGGTTCTGGACAGA